TTTTTTTGTACTGTTTCAATGGCTTCTTGAGGGTTTAAACTTGGATTTAGGTTTTGGGGGATTTGATTGACTGTTGGCATGGGATTGTTTGAAATACAGCTGCACAAACCATACATTTTCTGGCTGATTTCTTATCCCTGGTTCTGGTTCTGTTAGCCATGCTAAAACTGTCTCTACAAGTTTTTCCTGGAAAATATAGCTCCTTACCACAATATGAGACTACGTTCACACAGCAGGCGAATTTGACCCAAATCTGACATTTTTTTGCCCAAATGCAACCTATATCCGACTTTTTCACGGTAATCTGAAAGGCCCAATTTGGATCTTGGCTCACCTTAAAACAAATCTCATTTGAGCCACTTCCATGTGTTGAACTAAATCTGGTAAATAATTTTCAAAGCGTCTGCAGTCTGAATGGTCATGTTGCCTTTAATCCGACATTTACATCATTGGCATGAGACGTAATTCTGCACCAGAAGATGCCAGACGCAAGAAATTTACCTGTAAACAATGGCTGACAAATTTTAATCATAAAATTATGAATGAAATTTGTTCCACTGATGCGCATCACATCACAATCCCACCATTCTTGGCTCTGACTGTGCATCCAAACAGACTTCACTACAAAAATTGCAGTCAATGCTCCACAAAACGCCGTTGCTACAAGTTTTGTTTTCTTTTTGTTAGTTCCCTTTGTGTTTGTTTTGATCTTATCACAATAATATCGGCTCTAATTGCTAGATAAACTTTAAAATCAATCCATAAATGGCTTCATGCATTATTACCTACGTAAACAAGTTCGGTAACACTTTATTTGAAGGGGTGTGCATAAGACTGACATGACACTGTCATAAACATGACATAACACCTGTCATGATCATGAAGAAGTCTTTATGAATGTTTATGACAGTTGTCATGAAGTGTCATTAGGTAAATAATGACACTTTTAATGCAAAGTTGCCCTAAAAGTTGCATTAAAAGTCCATTAAAAGTGCCAACTTTGCATGCATAAATAATGCCAATTTAATGCAAAGTTGGCATTTTTAATGGACTTTCAGTGCAACTTTTAGAGCAACTTTGCATTAAAAGTGCCATTATTTACCGAATGACCCTTCATGACAACTGTCATAAACATTCATAAAGACTTCTTCATGATCATGACAGGTGTTATGTCATGTTTATGACAGTGTCATGTCAGTCTTATGCACACCCCTTCAAATAAAGTGTTCCCACAAGTTCTTATGTTATTCTCGCGCTTGCAGGTCATTTTGTGGTCGTAAACTGTTCACACAGAAGTCCGATTGCATTCACATTTCATTATTAGAATAACAGACTATTCAAAAATTAATAATCTGATTCAGCAAAAAAAAAAAAATCTGAATCAAGACCTGCTTTGTGAACGTAGCCTGAGAAAGGCTGCCGATATTTCTGAATGTTTTCTGCTAAAACTATTGCCTTCTCTTTCGCAACCTGAAGGAATGCCTCCTGATGTTAGGAGAACTTGAGTTTGCAATGCGATTGTTGAATACAGCAATGACCATATTGATTATAGTTAACCAACATTTCTGTTTGTGAGCAAAAATGGCAGAGAAGATATGTCAAAGTGCTTACATACATTATTAGAAAGCAACATTCTTGCTAGTCTTTGGAATATTGCAACAATTATTAATACTGCTGCTAAAATAATGTAAGATTTTTTTATGGTTATAATAACGATGTGTATGGCATTTAAATGTTGTGGCTTGATACCTGGACTAAAGCAAAAATATGAATTATACACCTGATAAATTTAAAAATTTTCAGGTGGTTCTTTCGTAGAAGTCAAGAAGTCGTTTTATTTTTTTTATATTTATTTTTATTTATAGAGCCTGTTTCATTCGCAGCGTGGGCAACACAAAGATGTATCTATATGATAAAAACAAGAACAAATTAAAATAAAGTATGTTAAAAGAGAACAAATAGTGGGCCAAACCGGAATATTAAGTTATGTTGGTTTGAAGGATTTCAGGAGGTTTTGTTGATGATGATGTAGCGCAGTTGGTAGAGCTGTTGCCTTGCAGCAAGAAGGTTCTGGGTTCAATTCCCGGCCCTGGTCTTTCTGCATGGAGTTTGCATGTTCTCCCTGTACATGCGTGGGTTTTCTCCGGGTACTCCGGTTACCTCCCACAGTCCAAAAACATGACTGTCAGGTTAATTGGTTTCTCTAAAAAATTGTCCTTAGGTGTGAGTGAGTGGCTGTGTGTCTCTGTGTTGCCCTGCAACAGACTGGTGACCTGTCCAGAGTGTACCCCCCCTCTCGCCCGGAACGTTAGCTGGAGATAGGCACCAGCACCCCTCCCGACCCCAATATGAGAGGGGTTTTATTATATCAAATTGACTTTTTTTTTTTTTTTTTACTTTATATCATGTGATAATGTTATTCCTTCATCATAGACACACCTGGAGTGTTGCTTTGATTGTCATGGATGTTTTATAAATCATTTAATCTCCCCTGGCAACCATATGGGGGTGACAAAAGCCTCCGACAGAGCAAAGAGCTGGAGCTTCTTAAAGAGACAGAGGCCTACTTTCAAGGCGTCAAATTGCGCAGTCAAATTTCTTTTAAGTGATGTTTGATATATATAATGTTTTTATAACAACTAAAAGTAACATAGTTACTTGATTTGTGCCATGAAATGGCAACATGTGCCTGGAAAATACATAATACTGCCCTTTTAACAAATGGCGTTTTAGAAAAGCACTACCACAATAAAGTGACCGATGATGCAGGTTTAGTATCAACGCAGTGGCTATCCTGTCAATGAGACCGGTGACTGGATTGGCAGCAACAGGTTGGGGAAGGGTAATTCTGTTTTCCTCTTTGCTGCAAACAGCCTGAAGACACTCTGACCTCTTATTGTAGATTGAAAGGATCTTAATCTGTTTGTATGATTTTGATGTAAGTCCTTATAACCCTGGCTTACCTCAATGCCAACAGATAACAGATTAGTTTTTCCACACTCGCTTCAAAATGCGTCACCCCGGACGCACATCATCCGTCTTAACCATGCCGTTAAATGCACACGCGCCGCCGAGGGCCGGCTGCGTGCGAACGTACCGGCGGCAGGCGGTTGGAAGAGATTGGGGTGGGGGGGCTGTCATGAGAAATTACCCCCGTGGACTGCAGCGTGGAGGCTGTAATTCTCCGAGGTAATCACAGGGAATAATGGCAACAGTGGGACACCCGGTATTCTAATCACTATAATCAGAAGCATTGGCTTATGGACTCAAATTCCTGCCTCGCGACGAAGCCGGCCGGGCTCGTCTGGCTGCTGCCGCGAGATCAAATGATTGACCAGTTCTCTCTCTCTCTCTCTCTCTGTCTCTCTCTCTTCCTCTTTCCTTCTCCTTCCTCTCCAGTCCTCCATTGTGGTCGGGGAGCCCCCTCTTCAGAAAGAACGGAGGAGTTCTTCTACAAGGTACGGTCTCACCTCCACAAGTCCCGTTCTTGTTTGTGTGTGTGTGTGTGATCTCTCTCTCTCTGTCTCTTTATCTTTCTCTCGCTCTCTTTCTTTTGTCTTTTTCACTCCCTCACCCTCTTTCTCCCTTCTTCCCCACTCCACCTTCCACGGATGTGCCAACTCCAATCATCTCAGTTCCAAATCCCTTCTTTTTTAGAGGTGCACCTTGAGAATACCAAGCTCTGAGATCTGACTCTTGGCCTCCAGCCAGAGGAGGAATGCTTTTTTTTCCCTGTCTACAGAAACATATTTCAGAGTTGTTGTTTTTTTATTAAAAAAAAAAGAATGAGACAATAAGAAAGGAAGAAACCGGAGACCCCCTTTTCCACCGCCCTCTCCCCTCATTTAGCGTAACATATGTCCACTCTCACTTCCTTTTCCCTGTATTTTCCATTATTCCTTTCCTCCTCCGCCTCCTCCTGCGGTGGCTGGACGGCAGTTAAAATGGACATTCAATCCCAATCAGGGAGCACTCCGGGAGCTCGCCGGGCCGCCGAGCCCTAAATGGAGAGGGAAATGGATACATTAGGCGTCTGAGGCGAGCCCTCCATTGCCGCTAATAATGGAGTAGTAATGGTCAAGGAGCCGGAGTCGGAGAGAAGAGAAGAGGGGGGGGGAGCGCCTGAGAACCTGGACTCCCTCTAGTCTGAGTGATGACTCAACGCGGATGGACGGACAGAAAGGGAGGCAAGCGAGGGTTGACTCGGAGTGCAGGAAAGGACAGGAAATGTCTTTTTTTTCCTTTTTTTTTTAAAGGAAAGAGTGCAGGAATGGTCAGGTGTGATGTTCAGAGGCAGCAGGGAAAAAGGAAGTTGTGACAGACAGCCAGAGGCAACAACAAGCAGAGGGTAGGAGGAAGGTGGTGGTGGGAGGGGGTGAGGAAGGGCGGTTAGTGGCCTCACTTATTACTTCCATCTCCCATTCCCAGAGCTTTCTGAGCTGATCTGGCCTGAAGTCTGTCTGTCCCTGTCACCAAGACAGCAGCAGTAAGAACACAGCGACAGTCTCTGGGAGATGAGGCCCCATTCTGACAGATTACCTCCCTTACCCCCCCCAAGTTACCCAATCAGAGGGTCAAAAGAATAAAACACACATTAAAAGGGCAGAATTATGTAAAGGTCATGTTTTTGGACCTTAACATCATGTTATAATATTATTCCCTCATCAAAAGCATACCTGGAGTGTTGCTGTGATTCTTTCATGCATGTTTGAGAAATCCTTTAATCTCCCATAGCAACTATATTCAGCTGTGCAAAACGCCTGGGTGAACCTAGCTCCGCCTTCGAGGTCGCAGCTCCTCCTCCAAGCTACAGTTTCCAAGCTGTCAAGGCTGACTCCCTCACTGAGCTCCTTCAGACTAACCACCAGCAATTAGCAAACTTAACTGTGCATCTGCTGAGCTCATTTTAAGAGCTTCTTCTCAGTTGATTAAAAAAAATAAAAATAAAAACTTTTTTAAAGGGTTAATATAGCAGCCATGTAGTGACAACTTCCTGAAGGTGGAGTTTCAGAAAGAGCAGGAGTTTCTTAAAGAGACAGAGGCCTGATTTGAAGGAGATAAATTACAAAGTTAAATTTATTTGATGTTATATTTGATATAAACAGCATATTTCTAATGGTAACATAGTTTTGTAATTGCACTAAAAAATGGCACTATGTCAATGGAAAACATATAATACCGTCTCTTTAAATAGAAAGTAAGTGACATACAAAAGATTAAAATGTCAAAACTGTTCTGTAACAGCAATATAAACTCTCTAGAAGTTAATAGTTTAAAAAAATACACAAAAAAGTGAGTTTTCTGAAATAATCTACTAATAATTTCCTGATACCAGAAGTGTAAAAAGTTTTTTTTGCAGCTGATTTTCTCTGTAGTAAGTTAATAAACACATAGAGCATGATCAAATTTTTTTTTAGTCCGGCAACATTTTTACTTTTTTTTTTTTTTTTACCCATTATTTAATTTTATTCACCTTCAAAATCAATGTGCTTTTCATTTAAATTCAGCAGAGTATTAAATTAAACTCTTTATAATATGAAGCTGATCCTTTCACTTTCACCTCGAGCAGCTCAGGTAATATATTTCCTTATGGTAATTAAGAATACTGATATGTCATATTAAAGCCTACAGTCCCTTGCTAAAGTATTAATACCCATTCAACTTTATTCATACTTTCTCACATTACCACGACAAATGTGTGTTTTACTTGGATTTTATATGACAGGCCAGTTCAAAGAGCCTCAAAAGGTATATAGTGTAGGCAAAAGTTTTTCATGCAAAAATCTGCAGTGTGACTTGTATTTGCCTGAAGTCACCCCTTTACTCTGATTCCCTTGATTACAATGTCAATGCAGTTTACAAAATATGTAATGATTTTAAGTTTGGATTTACAGCTATAGATGACAGACTCGGAGTGATTACACAATTTCAAATAAAGCAGAAATATATAAATGGTCCAGTAAATAAATCAATATACTTAAAATGAACCAAGTAATTTAAAAAAGGAGAGTATATGTCATGTTTTATAATTTAGTAGACATTCATTTTTATTGTTTCAGGTTAGTTATAACAACTCAGTCATAATTTAAATTGACTGAGGTCAATTTAAATTGACCTCAGTCAACTTCTATTCTTCTAAAAATAGAAGAATTTTTAAAATTCTTCTATTTATTTGTATATAGTTCTATTTTTTATTATTTAACTTTGTATATAGTTTTTTTCCCCCCTCCACTCTACTTTATGTCCATGCTGTCTCCTATTTTTATTTTACCTATAAATTTCTGCCTCATTATGCAAATGAGGAGAGGCGGAGTCTTAAGGCTTCACCTTCTTCCTATTGGTTGGTTAGCGTTACACTGCATAGACCAAATCTACCTGCTATCTATCTCTGTTGTGGCTACCGGCCACAAAGGGACTCACAGTTTTATCTCCTGAGAGATTAGTTATCCAAACGGTATAAACAGTGATCTCAACTCACTATGTTTCTTAATAAGTTTCATTTCTCTGCTGATCATTATCAAACTCTTGGGGTGTTCTGTAACTTTGGTGTTTGGCGCCTCCTTCTGGATGGGAGTGCTATTGTTGCTGTCATTGCTTTCGCCGAAACAGAAGCAACGCATCCTTAACCTGAATTCGGGTATCTTAAGCTAAGACCATAATGTATTTAATTAATCAAAAAAACATAATAATTTGGTTTTAAATGTGTAATTTCCAGGTCTTAAATCTGCCTTTACAGCACTATTTAATCTTGAATATTCACTGTATTTTTTCTTTCTTGCCGGACTTTTCTATCAGGCAAAACATATTCATTGTTTGCCTGATTCATTGTTTGTGTGACAGTAGAGGCAAACGCTTACTAGCTGCTAACATACTCTTGTTAGCAATCTAGCTTTTTTGCGTCTTTCCTGGGTAAGTCCAAAGTTATTGCCAGTTGTCTAGACGATGTTTGTACATTTCTGTGGTGATATAGGTCTTGAATTCAATACATGTTAGCAAACACCTGGTGGAACTGCATCTGCTGAGCTCATTATATGAGCTACTTCTCCCAAAGTTAACATAGTTACTTGATTGTGCTATAAAATGCCACCATAAGCCTTGATGATATATAATGCTGCCCCTTTAAAAAGTCTTAAATTTGAATGGGTGAAACCTACAGAAACCTTGTTAGTAGCAACTCAGATATTTCTAGGAGTCCTATTTCCAACTTTGATCAAAATAAAACTGGTTTTACCTGAACATCTCCTTTGGTTAACTTTAGGCTTGTTTCTGACAGAAAAGAAGAGACTTGTTTACAAAGCCGTATTATATTACCGTAATCAAGCGCTACTTTCCTTTTGTCTCCCCTCTACAAGTTCCAGCACATGTCAGTCAGCCAAGCTCTTAAACTCTCCGTCCGAGTGTCAGATAGACAAGCCGGTTAGTCGTCCAGTTAAACTGCCAGCAACTTCATCCCACCAGCAATCCAGGCTGTCACTCAGCCAGTCAGTCAGACAGCATTAGCATGCATCCTGCCCTCAGACTCTACTCTCGGTTTAACACACAGCAGCCAGGCGGACAAACGGACAGGGAGGGGAGTGGAGGGGGAGTGCCTCTTTTGACTGAGCGAGAGACCGCCTTCAAACGGTTGCAATCTCAAGGTCTGCCGGGAGTGACCTGTGAACCCGTGGAGCTGTGAGAGCAAGAGCTGAGCGAGCGCTCCTCTGCCGGACGAGGCGAGACTGCGCAGCCCGGAGGGCCATGTGGAACTCATTTAGGAGGAGACAGGAGGGAGGCAGGGAGAAGACGCAGGAAGCAGACAGAAGAGAGGGCAGCTGACCATGCTTAAGGGGAAGGGGGAAAAAAAGCAGACATTCTTTCTAGGAAAATGCCTCAGATGCAAACATTGTGTTCTCTTACCATCAAAAGGAATTTTTTACAGTTGAACGGCTTGAGGCTTTTAAGAGCGAACCGCTCAGTGTCGGTGTGGTTTTGTCGCCTCATCTCCGCAGCATATGTCCCAGGCTTTTCACCTGCAGAGACGGCATACATGCTCAGTAGGAGATATGAGTCACCAGTGTACACAGAATGGCAGCCAGATCAATACAGAGGGTGGTTGGCTGGGGGCTATTGAGGGGGGGAAATATCAACAAGAGGGTGGAATTAGATGGACAAACAGGGTTTATGAGCAAGTGCAAATACGAAAATAGAGAGAGGACGAGGGGGAAGAGATGCCCACGCTTGGACTTGGCAGCCACGTGTTTGTGGGTGTGTGTTCGTGTCCATGCGCCGTCTGGAAGTCTTAGAAAATAAACTATGGAAGTGTAGTGGTGTTTCCCCCTCAGGCCGATTCACTAAGTATCCATCCGTCCATTAATCCATCCATCTGTTAGGCTGTGTATTCATCATCTTCCAATCTATCTGTCCTTCCATCCATATCTCTGTTCATTCGCCAACTACCCATCCATCGATGTATCTATAG